TCTTCTCTTCAATCGCCAATTCAATTTGCTTTAAATCTTTATTCTACCAGTTTGTTTTTATTTCCTTTATTTTGGGCTACTCACCTAATGCTTCAAACGCTGCTTCATGGATTGCCGTTTCATAGATTGCGGCTCCAGCCTGGCAGGACCTCCAGCCTGGCAGGCCAGGATTTGTTTGGGGTTCCCCTAGAGAGGTTGGCCCCATGCCTTTCTTGCTCTCTACCCATGGTTTTGTTTCAGAGTTTTCCTTACTTCAGCCTTTGGAGAGTCCATCCCCTCCTGCAAGGCAGCAGGTTGAAATCGGAAAAGAAAAGGACAGACAAATAGATAGGAAGAGAGGAGGAAGAAAATATAGAATAGAATAAGGAAAGAAGAGAGGAGATAATCATGACTCCCTAGCCCTCGTAACTTAATAGTAGCGGAGTCGAAATACACGAGACCAAGATCGGTCTAATAGGAAAGAATAAAGGAGTATGGCACAAAGGAAGGATAGCCATGCCATACTAGTAAAGGGACCACATTTATGCACACCTGTACACATTTGAACATCAATGCTACCCCTGTATGCACTCAGCTTCATAAGAGCACACAAACCTCCACGCCCGCAGGAAATAGTATTAATCAAGATATATAAACCGGAAGTGTCTGTATGTGATTTTCGAATTTTTAACTTTTAAACATTTTCACATCTGTTCTTGGATTTGTCAAACGTATGAACAATCAAATAAATTGTTGTCATTCCGCGCTTATGACGAGTATAGAAGTGCCGATTCTCTGTATAACCCTTAGCCGAAGTGATTAAATGTCGAGTCCGGTCTCAGCGTCAGCGTTTCGTGGAAACGGGCCGCTGTTTCGGAGCTGGCTCATGGATAATTATTTTTTAAATTCTCTGTTGCTTTTAACCAGCAAAATTATTTACCGCGAAGAGTTATGCCTGCTGGCTTACAATGTTTTTCTGCCCAAAGGACATTTATTTTACATTTTGTTAATTTCTTCGTTGACTAATACTGCAACTGAATCACGAAGCTCTTATGACTATTGTAGGAATGTTTAATCCCTGTACGACCCCGGTGGCAGAGTATGGTTATTGATGTGTATTGTCTCAGTGCTTCGGAGGCTAAGTCGGCTTGTTCTAGCCTTGCTCAGGGATAGTTATTTGTTACGAAACAAAACTATTGTATATTGTTTCTGTGTTGCGAAACAAAACTATTGAAAATTGCATAAATTTGAAAATTATTTGAAGCACTTCTACTAACAAATGCAATCAATTACAATAAATATATTTGAAGGGTGTACGTGATTTCCTTTTGCAACTTTTAACCACCTTGTCTTTTCACATTTTCTCATCTCCGTAACTGAAACTGTTGTGTCTTGAGTGATATGGAAGAGTATAGGTTTTGTCCTCTTGGATAGCCGAGATTGTTGAACAGCGTGTTCGGGTTCGTTACGTGAAGCCAAGAGGTCGTCGGTTTGAGTCCTACGCGGGGATTTTAATTTGATGAAGGTGGTGGTGTAAAAACTATTAGAAATTCCGGTAACTTTATTGAAAATCATTTGGAGTATTTCTACACACAAATGCAATATATATATATATATATATATATATATATATATATATATATATATATATTGCGATTTTTAACTTTTAAACATTTTTTCAACTTTCTTATGCGATTTGTAAAACGTATGTCGCGTCCAATCAATTGTTGAGTTTCTGAGCTTTTGTATGAACCAATTTAAGTAAACTAATGAGTCTATCGAAAGGAAAAATATATTATGAACACTTGCCATGTGACTAAATTAGATATCCTAACGGATCAGAAATTAGTATTACTTTCTCGCCTTACGAATTCTTCGTAAAAAGAGAAAGTTATCTGAATTGTGCCCCAGAAAACGTCGAAATTTCGTCAGAATAAAGCTCAATGCCGGGTACTGATAATGAAAGAGTGGATAAATTCTGTTAAATTTAGGGAAAAAAAACCTCTAACTCGTGGTGTTGCCAGAATCCATATATTGTTGGTTTTTGTTACCAAAAACCCAATTGGCGGCCAAATGTCTGTCTGTGGTTAATGCTAGCGTCTAAATCGTTCAGCTGATTTTCTTCAAAATGTATGTATCCTGATTGATCCTAACGGACTGGAGACTTTGGGAGTTTCTAATGGATATTTTGATTGTTGAAGTTTTTTAAAATAAATCGTGAATTTTCCTTTTTATACCTTTAACAGAGACCAAACCACTCAACCCTTCTGTGACGTAGTGGTAAAAGTGTCAGCACGTTTGGTTCACAAATTTAAGTTAAATGAGAATTTTTTTTCTGCTGCATTTCTGTTTCTGTTCAATTAGTGACTATACTGATTATCAAAAAGAAAACTAATGCTTATTTTAATCAAACAGTGATATATATTGAATTAGTTTACTTTTGTATTGTATATTTTTTTAAAGACTTAATATGCTTGTAACAAATAATTTACTTCAGATTCTGGGTCAATGACCGCCTTCTCGATCAGGTTTTTGTTCAGTTTCCCTAATCCATTGAGCAAATGCTGAGATGGACCCTTGTTTTGCTTCTAGACGTCAATGTAGCTTCACTATACGTACGTTTTGCCTTTTGCTTGTACTGGTAGGGTTAGAGGTAAAGGCGAGTTACTATTTTGTTAGTAATGCATAAACATTATATCTGCAATTCGTACACCGTTGCAAATAAGTTTTCTATAACATTGAAATTATATTGTCTGATTTTTTCAAATAGTCCTAATCCTCCGCTTTTTAAAATTATATTTACGTATTTACGTACAAAATATTGGGTGAAGAACAAAAAAGATGCCGTAAGGGATCACGAGGTTGTTAGGAACAACTGATAGTGGATTCCATCATTACCAGTACGGTAAAACAAAGAAAGGTATCACTGTATGCCGCATTGATAAACTATCAGAAAACATTTCACAGTGTCCCTCACACTTGGGGATGAGTGAAGTGATGAAAATCTACGGGGTAGAGAATCGTGTGAAGGGGTTCCTGAGATATGCAACGGATCACTGGACTGAGCAACTGAGTACTTGCAACTGAGTACTAGCAAAACGGACGTTCAAGTTGTGAATATTAAAAGCAAGAGAGGTATCTTCCAAGGTGATGCTCTCAGTCCTTTGCGGTTTTGTCTTGCCGTAAAACCACTAACATCGATGCTGAATCGGCAGAAGAGGGGAGTTAAGCTGGAACAATCAGTTTCACAAATAAGTTACTTTTTTATATGGAGGACTTGAAAGTGTATACTGAAAATAAAAGTCATCTTGACAGTGTCTTAGATCGTGTGGGAAAATTCAGCAATGACGTGAGCATGAAATTTGGTCATGACAAGTACAGAATTAGTTGTATGAATAAAGGAGAATGGGTTGAAACCCCTAGAAATGAAGTAAATAAAGAGCAAGTCTCCATCAAAGGAATGGCTGAAAAAGAGAAATACAAATATCTCTATACTATATACTATATTTGCAGTCTAAAGGGATAGAAGGCAAACTTGCTAATGAAATAGTGGGTAATAACTACATCAGAAAGGTGCGCGCCCTCTTGAAGACAGAGTTGAGTGCCCACAACAAAGCGAAAGCATTCAACATATATACAACCTCAGCATTCACTTCTTCCTTTGGAATACTAATATGGGCCGGCACTGACCTGAAGAATTTTGACATTAAAATAAGGAAAGAATTTTGTAAAGCTAGAGCACACCATCTACACAGTTCAATTCAAAGGTTCCATATACCCTGGGCAGAGGTATTCGTGATGTCACGACCAGACATAATATGCAAGTAAAAAATATGAGAGATTACTTCCTCCAAAAGGCAAAATCCAATGAGTGTATGACTGCAATTATAAAGACAGATCACAGAGCCACACCTCTTAAACTCAACATAATGTACGATACTTCCTCGAAGATCCCCGCAAACGAGCAACAACGAGAAAGATGGAGGACCAAAGCCCTACACGGCCATTACAGCAACAAAATAATGAAATGAATCAACAAGCTTCTTTGGCTTACCTGCAATTTGGTAACCTGTTTGCGCAATCGGAAGCCTTCGTAATTGCGATTATATATCAGGTAATCGCAACAGGAGCTTACCGTAAATACATCATGCGTGAAAACAAAATACAAAATGTCACTGCAGAATGTGAGGCCAAAAAGACGTGAGGAAAGAGTGAAATTGGTCTATAATTCATTAAATTCACATTTCCTTTTTTGGGTATATGTTAATTACTGCAGTTTTGAATATGTTTGGGAAGGAGCCATTAGTTACTGGTTGTATAAATATGTTAATGGTTTGATGATATATGGAGCAACCTTTTTTAATAAGAAGGCTGGAGAGTTGTTTATTCCAGCAGATTGTTTATTTTGCATTTTGTTCATAATTTGAAGTTTATAATTTTTTTCCTTTTCTATTGTTCTGTGATGGACATTCTAGAAACTTAGAGTTTTTAAAGAAAGGTGGTGGTTGTTGAGGTGCAGTATTTACTAGGCTGTCCGGGTGACGCCGCGTCCATGGCGAAGGTGCCATGGTGCCATGGAAGGTGTCTGACACCTTCGCCATGGACGCGGTTTCACCCGGACAGCCTAGTAAATACTGATCCCGGCCGCGGAAGCCTACGCTCTCACTTGAGGTGCAGTGTTTGGATTACTTGTTTGCACAAGTCTGTCAGCTATTTTGACAAAAAGCTTATAAAAAGTTTTCTTGATAAAGATACTCAGACTGTAATCATATTTGAATAACTGCAACTATTTTATTATAAATCAGATTCTTTTTATTTAATGTATGCAAAAGATAGAGACTTGTAATTGTGCTGGGACAGCAATATTTAGTTGTCCTATGGTGGGTATAGGTGGGTGTATATTTAGGTGTCAAAATTGTTAATCTGCCCCTGGAATTACTTATGGGATTTTTGTGGATTTCTTCTAAAAATTCTGTAAAACCCATCAATTTTTCTTGACAAAATTACATGGCGAAAGGAATGTTTGTTATGAAACCATTTATTTTCTCGTTTACATTGTAACAAGAATAGTCTTTGACCTTTTGTATACACAATTTCTTATGACATTTTCTTTTACATATTTTTTTATAATGCCTCAAAACTTCATAGAGGAATGAAAATGTGTACATAGGTATATCACAGAGGTATTGGATGGCTGCCTTGAGATGCTGCCACAACAAAGAATGTAGCATCACCAGAATATTTTTTTTTAATGTTATCAATAGTTGCATCAACAGCATCCTTCTGCACCTGATAAAACAAATATTATATTACATTTCTGTCATAACATAATACACAAATAAACAATTGAAGTGGGCAAACACGTTTGTATTACACATTATTGTGAAAATGCAATGTTAAGTCATATTTGGTAAAGTGACAAAAATCAAGCAGCTTTCTAAACTGCCCACCAATTGTTAAAATATACTCACAATGGTGAACCACATACCTACTTGAAAAATGAAAATGTCTGTTTACACAAAAATTAATGTATTGTGGGTATCCACTTTTATTCCCAAATCTTTTAATTAATCACAATTTATACCTAGTGGTATATGCCTTCGTTTCTCTTGCCAAAGAATGAGATAATTTTTAATTCATGAATCAAATATTGTGATAGTAATTTCCATTATTAAAAATGACAAATTTTGTTTGCAATATAATTAGGTATTCAACCAAGTGCAATTCTTATTGTATATAAATCCATTAACTGAAATTAAGGATAGCTGTCTACCTGAGAATGATGAAAAATCATGAAATTTCATGTGTTTGAATTTTTATTTGGTCATAAGCTCTGTTTTCTTTTCTTTTAAACGCTTCAAACCATTTCTCATTTTTTGAGAATACAATTTTTTTAACAAGTATCAACAGACAAGCCCTTAATCAGAGAACATCAGATGCATTTTCCTGAATTGAAAATTTTCATCACATTCAACAATGTTAAATATAATAAATCATAAACTATTAAAGACAATAATATAATTCTTTTTGAAGAATATAACCCATGGTTTGCTCCAGTGAATGAACAAAAAAAAACTTAGTCTCTCACTAAACGTGTCAGTTGTATGAACAGAAATGTCCGTAATAAATTTATAAACAACTATTTTTTCTCAAATAATCAAATCTTGACTCTATTTTTCACAGTACCAATTTAGTTTATTCACTAGAATATTCATTTGTGATTAATTAAAAAAGAATTAGCAAAATATATCTATTTGTTGTAAAGTTATTATGTTTGAAGTAAAAATCTGCATTTGTGCCATTTATTTATAAATAGAATTTTTTGAAAGAAATATGATCTCTAGAAGCATAAAGAAATCAAATGTACAAGGAAAAACAGAATAGCCCCAAAATTCTAGAATTTTGTTTCTCAGAGAGCTATGATTGAAATTGTTTGGACACCAATATTTCTGCATAATATTGATTTCATTTGGTTTAATTTTATGTCTCACTAAACCTATATAAATTAAAGCATACTGTTTCTTAAATATAACAGCAGTTGCAGTGTTAATGAACAGCAGAAGTAGTAGTTTATATGGTTCTCTCAGGGTCAGAGGCGTGCGCGGCCTAAAAAAGAGTGGAGGGGAGGGACATTTTTGTGCTTTTCTGGGCCCCTCTTCTCTCTTTCGTTAACTTTTTTATTTCACACATTATAATAGAAAATTTAAATTATAAATTTAATGATACCAATTACCTGATTAACTAGTAAAATGTGGCGTACTCGACGCTGTAAACTGTTTTAAAAATAGTTTCATGTCTTGAAAATTTCTTCCATACTTCATTTCTTTCATTCTCAACTTTGTTCAAATATGTTCTTTCAGAATCTGGCATTGGACGTACCAATGAATCGTAGTAGCTGATAATGGTATAATCCCGTTCAAAAGTTCCCACAACCCAATGACCTTGTATCTTACCTCCATACGGGATATAAATTGGTCTGATTGTAATTTCAAACTTATAATAGCTGAAACAAATACTTGCAGGTTTTGATGCTAATAGGTAAATTTTAGAACATGTTTTACGCTATATTGCTAATATTCACAAAAATGCACATAGCATATTTGCATTAGCATATTGTACAGCATATTTGCATAGCATATTAGCACAAATGTTAAATGCACAAATGCAGATCATTCCCAATTATTTCCGAAAATTCTGTCGCGATGTCTTTTGCAACTTCTTTTGATTCTTCCCCGGATTTTCTTAACACTTCTACATTTTTCTCCTCTAATTTTTGAAGAGATTAAAACTTTACAAACTCGGTCTAATTTGTGTTCACTTCTACTTCTGCAATTGTTTTGTATGCAAATCTAGCGTTGCATGCGAATCTAACATTAAAAGGCGACTGTTTTGTATGTTTATGTGAATAAGGTGTTAATTAAGTTTAAGAAGAATAAGTTGTGGATAACATTCATTTGGAAATCGATAATTGCACACTTACATAAGAACGGAAAAGTGCGAAGTCGAACGTAAGAATGTTCATTCATTCTTAGCATTACTCACAGTTTAGTCTTCTTCATATTCACTTGAAATTCTTCAAATTTAATTAGTGCCGAGGCGATACTGTTCGTAGGTTTTCGCCAATTAATTTGTAAAATACGAATCTAAACTGATAGCAGACTGCTGTGCGATTTATTTGGTAATTCACTGAACGGTGTCAACTTACTTGATGGTTCATTTAAGGATGTCAACATCGGTGTTGCCAACGTCGTGAACGAAAATTATGGCGTATTAAGTTACAAATGTGTTTGGTACTGGGTGTACCACCTACAAAGATCGATTTAGGAAGCGTTGGTTTAATTAACGGCATTATCACTGAGATTGCAGAGCCGAAACACGAATAAGAAGGTCATATCCACCTGTCTCCAAGACTTGCACAGGTGGTACCTCAGACAGGTGGGTATTACCACAAAATGTTTTGGGGGATTTCAGTTTGCACGCCCTCAGTATTTTTGAAATAATTTTGTGAAACTCATAACCTGAAATAAAAAGTGTGTATGTTCAGAACTGTAATACTCTTTTGTATGTGATGAGATTTATGTCTTATTTAGTTTGAATACTTTGAGTAAAATTGCAAGCAAAAGTTGTTGGTTTGGGAGAGGGGACGTGGAACCCGTGCCCGCTCCCCCTCTCCCCGATCCACTATTGTACAGTGCCTTAAAACTTAGTTTAAAATAATACTCTGATTAAGAAAGATGTTATAAACACATTAACAACACAAACAAATTTCAGGGTTAGAAAGAGAATTGAAATGCAACTGTATTCGAGAAGCAGATGATATTATGGAACTATTCTTTCTCAGAATTTGACTATTCTCTTTGAAAATGAAATATCAGTTGAACTATGTACTTACGGCTAATACGAACTTAAATGTTTTCAGTATCACTATCACTTTTAGTCTGACAAAAATATTGGCTGTAAACAATCATCTTAAAAATAATAGAAATCAATGTACAGCAATGTTTCTCAACCATAGCGCCAGAAGATATCCCTATAAAATGTAGAGATAGAAAAAGTAATAGATATGGCAAAAAAAACAAACAATGTTTATTACCCTTCGAAAGAACAAAAGTTTAGATTATTACGCAATAGAAGAACTAATTCGCCTACTTTATTTTCTTACAAGCTTTCAATTTGTAAGTTACGGTATTCTGAAATATTTATTTGTGATGTTCAAACTCTATACTTATAATTTGTAATACAGTAAGTTAAATCATAATGTTATTTCAAAACTACCACTGTGCTGTAAGGATTGAGAAACAGTACTTGAATTTCCCCGTCAGAACGTACCAGTGTAACTGTGCAGCCTCCAAATCCAGCCCCTGTCATGCGCGAGCCCAGCACACCCTCCACCTCCAAAGCGGCTGTCACTAATTCATCCAGCTCCGCGCACGAGACCTCGTAGTCGTCCCTTCACATTGCCAACACCAAACGTTAGTTTATTGCTATTGCATGTTAAAGAAAGAGCATATAACAGTACAGCAGGTATCTTTAAGGAGGCTAGGAAGCACAAGGGTAATATTAGTGCTACTAAAGCACAATGCCATTCTTTATCTATTCCGCCAATAAACGTCATTGTAATTGTAATTTACAATTTGTAATGTATTATTATTTAATTAGGAAAAGCCATTATTTTAATTAATTATTATTACTAAAAGTGACCATAATTTTGGTATTATTAATAACAACTTGCTTTATTTAGTGAAACAAATTACGCTATGACTAGCTATTTCACTTGGGATAGTTCCGTTTATAAATGTTGGATGACCTCCCAAAATACAATTCAACGAAAGTGTTTCATACTTTTGGACAAAAAATGTAAACCACACCCGTTTTTACTGTTAGTAGTTACAAGCATTACGGAAAAATTACCAATATTTTGAAAAATGTGTACCAACTTGGAATGATTTTTGAGAAATATATTGAATTAAAGAAATCTCTATTGGCCGATACCGATTGAAAACATTCATATTTAGATAACTTATACACCTAGGGGACAAGGTTTTATACTATGTATTTTTTCCAATCTATTGCCACGGTTGTCCAGAACCTGTCACGGACATCAGGTCACCAGCGCTGACCTGCAATTCACGCGGCGAGGCGCGTGCCCGTCGCTCGCAGGCACGAACGCCCAACGCAACCACTCACTTCACACCCCGCCTCGCCACTCAGCAACGCTGCCGGGTAGCGCGTTTGCTGGCAAAGCATAGCTTTGAAATGGAGGTATTCGCACGAGCGGCACAGGTGCGCTGCCGTGGCACTTAAGAGCCCCTTCTCACGGCGTCATTCAGCAGTCCTTTCGTGTAACGCCTCTGTTAACAAAGCATTGGTTTCAATCTATTGAAGATTTTCACACGAGCGGCGTTGTCGCGCTGTTGTGACGGTTATTAGTGATATCCCGCTACCTGAAGCGCAAAATCGCTTCCACGCCACCGCCAGCAGGACTGAGTTCAAAGAGACAGCTTTCACATTAGGCCACCGGAGCGCGCCACTGAACCTTTCTGAGTCCATGTTGAATGCATTGCGTTCGCTGCAGCCGCCCATTGCGATGTATCTCACGAATCCTTCCTTTCTCACAGGCAGTGGTGCCATATGAAGGGACCCTTATACCAGTTCACTTATATTCGAATGTTGTTTGCCTTAAGGCAGCCGGCGCCCACAGCGGTGTGCCTCACGCGGTGTGCCAATACTTTATTTCTCACGGGCAATGGCGCTCGACTAGGGTTGCTACACGTCCTGAATATCGACATGCGTCCCGCAGGATTTTTCGTTGTTTCTGCCAAATGTCCTGAATTTTGTACTCTGTTATACTTCCACACAGTCCTACAAAAAATCCGTTTTGGGACTGCTTCTGAACTGCATCACAGAACGAGGCGCTACATAAGAGAACGGAAGCTGTTAAATTCCTTTGTTAAGCAACTATTGATGTTTTATTCTTTTTACCTAGGAGCTGGCAAATAGATAAAGAACGGAACTGTAAGTTTTGAATCGAAATGCACCTGTTTTTCTCACAATGTGTTAATGCAGGAGAATCTGGAATGTAAAGGGTAAAAGACTGTCAGTATGTGTGTATGTGTCATAATGTTTTAATATCGACCAAAGTCATGCTTTATTTATTATTTTATTGAAATATCGTAAATACTTCACAAATTTTGTCATGAAAAATTAAGGAAATGACTTAGATAATCTGGAAACGTTAGGGGAATTTGTGCTAGAATCAGGGTGGACACCTTGATATTCTTGAAAGTTTTTAAAAATAAATCTTGCATTTACCTTTTTATACCTTTAACAGAGACCAAATCACTCGACGCTTCTGAGACATAGTGGCAAAAGTGCCGGCACGTTTGGTTCACAAATTTAAGTTAAATGAGAAAATATTTTTTGCTGCATTACTTTTTCTGTACAATTAGAGACTATACTGATTATCAAAAATAAAACTAATGCTTATGTTAACCAAGCAGTGATATATATATATATATATATATATATATATATATATATATATATATATATATATATAGTTTACTTTTGTATTGTATATTTCTTTAAAGACGTAATATTCTTGTAACAAATAATTTACTCCAGATTCTGGGTCAATGACCGTCTTCTCGATCAGGTTTTTGTTCCTTGTGAGTGCAATGTAATTTATCGTGATCTATTAATTAGTTGTTCACGTGATATACTATTTCCTTTTTATACGATTTACTTGATATACTATTCAGTTGTTCCAAAATAAACAATTTGTTCTGAAATATTGTCGGTTGTCCTGAATTCCATTGTTATTCTTATAGCAAACCTACGCTCAGCCATGGCTGGCGCAGAGGGCTCGACACTTCTCAGGGCGCCACCGAGTGGCCCCCTATGATGACGGCCAATAATCACCGCAAATTTCAATTTTGACACGCGAAGATGTCCAATTCCAATTTTGAAGAACAAAACGAAAAAAGTATATCTTCAATATTATTGTAGTTGTAGGAAGCACCCAAAAAGTCTACTTTGACAACTTTTGAAAATGCAGTGAGTTAAACATCATCTGCGCCATTTTTACATGCGTACATTGCAATATTTGTAGGAAAAATGGAGCAGATTTTGTGAAAGAATTGTTCTTAAAACTTCCTTTAGTTCACGAAAAATTACACCCAAACTACTCATATTTAGAAAAATTGTGCATGACCTCATTTAAAGATTGAATTTTTAAGAACACTTTTCTTTAAGAAAAATATGTGTATCTCCATTATTGTAGTTTCAGGAAGACGCTGACAAAAAATTTAATGTTTGCAATTTTTGTAAATTCAGACGTCAACGAAATCGGACCTGCACGATTTTTATAAACAACTTTGCTTTATCCAGGAAAAATAATTTAAAAAATTTGAGTCATTTTTAAGAAAAACGTTTTAAAAATTAATCTTGAGGCTTCATATAAAGTACCACTCAAAATCAAAACAACAATTTTTAATTCAAGGGGCCACGACATCTGCCAGATCGATCAGGAAATATCAATTCTGGTAAAAATTGTGCTTACGGTTAAGCCGCTAGTGTTGTTCACAGACGGACAGACGCTTTGCTGTAAACGAGTTTTTCGATGTCACACAAATCGTGAATTTTGACAACGCATCATGTCAATGGATTTAATTCAATATATTTAGAAACAATATTTATCCAAGGAAAGAATATACAAGTCGAAAACGGCTGTTGAGGCATTCCGGAGTATTTTTTAACATTGGTGTATATTTCTTTTTTTCTCTCTAATTCTATGACTTGAGATATTCCCGATCTTGTACTGACTTGAGCTCTTGTAGAGAGGGCAGTAGTGCTGCGGTAATTATATAATTTTAGCTTTCAGACCCGGGCAAGCTATTTCTCGAAAGAGATTCTAAGTATATTAGAAATAGCTCTCGGCGCATTAAATAATTACTTAAAGGATTTATCTGATCGGCACATCCAAACTTTTTCTTGAAATGTGAATGATTTAAGGGTATGGACAAGGAAAAAATTTGAAACTCAGTTTTGAGAAAGTTAGTAGGGTAGTTTTCCTTCTTTGTATGGTACAACAAATGTACAAAAGCCTTGTCTGGCACTGCGAAAGGAATACGCATTTAGTGACTTTGTGAAACAAACTCGGGCATTCTTTAAAATCTTCAAAAAATAAAATAATAAGGGAAGTTTTATTACTTTTATACATAAAAGGTTTTGCCGATAGTGATCAAAATATGTTACGGAGACTTACATACACTTATGGAACTCTTCGAATGGCTCGTATCTCGCAGATAGAAAACATAGATACGATAATACAGGTAATAGAAAAGGAGGTGCGTAACTCGTGGCTGTCCAATCCCGAGTTCTTCGCAATTGGCCTTATTTCACCGTGAATGATAGTCCGACCGAAAAAACAACAACAAAAAACAAAACCAAAAGCAAAGACAATGAAGTGGGTAGGACCCAGTAGGTTATTAATTGCAATTAAAAACAAACCTCAGTGAATTGTGGCTCTCAATCATCAGTTTTCCAAAGGTGGCGTAATCACCGGCTTTTAAAGCTTCTGAACCATCTACTGTTCTCCTTATTTCTCCAACCACATGACGTGCCCTTTTGATAACCAAAGGGTCAGCTCCTCTACACTTCAGAACTACAGAATTAAAAAAACATTGCGATTTATTCGAGCTATATTTTTAATGAAAATATGAAACTGCGCAAATATTACTCGAACTCTTACCTTTTAAATCTTCCTCATTTGCATCTCTCAAACTTTTCTTTTGTATTATTTTTGCAGCATCTTCACACTGTTTCCGCCGAGTTGGGTACTCGCTACTTGACAATTCATGGTGTACATTCGAGTTGGTTACAAGAACTACCACGTTCGGGTCATTCATAGCCGCCAAGTGAACTTCCATTGATCTTCAAAAATAGTTGAAAAATTGTGAAAGTAATGTCAGCTTTTATGGCCGGCGTCAATGATTAAATCGTTTATCGGACAAATAGGCCATGGTCAGTGGAAGACAATTTGCAACTACGGCAGACATCAGCGACAGTGAGGCAACCATTGGAGACCCTGGTGAGCTCCTGGCTCACTAATGTCACTAATATGCTGGGCTCCCTTCTGACTAATATCACTAATAACATTAGTCAGTCAAGAGCTCACCAGGGTCTCCGACCATTGTCTCACCGCCGCTGATGTCTGTCGCAGTTGCAAACAAAGTGTCTGGAAGTATGGCTTTCACTGACCACGGCCTATTAGTCCGGTAAATAATTTAATCAATTGTGAAAGTACTCAAATAGTTATTATATAGCAAAATAATTACTTAAAGAAGTACTGAACCTGCAGTCAATCATTAATGCAAAGCCTTCTTCTCCCATTGTAGAGATGAACTGATCCATTATTCCACAGGGCATTCCGGCAAAATCGTGCTCAGCTTTCTGACATGCCAGAGCCTTCTCCACCAGGCTGAAAAATTAACTCGATATTACGCACTACTCGCACACATACCGTATTATGGGGCGTTATTAAATGAAAGGCGCTTACAACTCAGTCTTTTGGCCGGTTAATGTTTCTAAAAATGTGTAAACTGCTACTTCTAGAGAGGCGCTACTGGAAACTCCTCCTCCGAAAGGAACACTTGACACAATGACAGCATCAAAGCCAGGAACGTCACCTGGACATTGATAAACACTGAATAAAACTTATTTTCTAAGAAAAGAAGGCGAAACTCAACGGTGCATACGTACCTTTGAAATTTGCAACTACACCTTTGACATAATTTGCCCATTTGGGAATTCCCGGTTGGAGTGGTTCTTTCGACGGAATAGAAAAGCTCGTGGAAGTAGGCATGTCAGCATTTTCACTCGTAGTAACAACATTGCAAGTATCAGTGCCATTATTCTTTCCAGCAACTATGGTGACCATAGGTAATGCCTATGGTCAATGGTAATGGGAAAATATCATTGCATATAACATTTATATTCGTACATTTAGACCATTTAATGAAATAACACCAAACATTTCATTTTTAATACCTATAGAGGTGGGCAAATTATTATACTAAACATTTTCCCCTTCGCTTAATGGGCTATTACGTGTTCTAAGAAGCACCAGACAAACGTATTGGTTTGAGTGGTCAGTTCTTGGTTCTGGAAACGTATACATAGTTATACAACATGGCTTCATGTCACAATAGGAAATAATAGACAATAAAAACTAGCTCATGAAACAACTCACTCGCATCTGACAAAATGATTCTAAAATTAAAAGAATTAAAAAAAATCTTTTAATAATTATATTATAATATGGACGAAGTTTAGAACACGGTACACCGTTAGGGAGTCTCTTCAACCGGCACTTCGCGCTGCTCCGGCGAGGGGGAAATCCACGGTGGTGAGGACGAGGGGCTCATGAGGGGAATCTTCCGGTGATTAGGGGCAGTGAGTAATGTACGTAACTTACAGTACCTACAACTAGTGGGGCTAAAGCAGCACGTACTCTCTCGCCCGTATTTTTACGCAAAATTGCGCGAAAAGTACCTTCTCAAATTTTCGAAAAATTGTTCATGACGTTATTTTAAAATCTATCTTTAAGGGACAGATATTATTAGGGGAAAAATCTCTATCCTTTATAATTGTAGTTAGAAGACAACACCAAAAAAGTTTGAATTTTTAAAAAATTTCGAAACAATCAGATTTTAACGAAAATGAGACCTGCACTTATTCTCTTTAACGTCATTGAAAAACGAAATTTAATTAAAAAAGATGGATTCTTTTTTTTTTTTAAATTTTGAAAATGAGCCAGGAGTTTCATGAAAAGAATTCTCCCAAAATTAAAATTTCGGTTTAAAATTCAGGGGTCCGTGACATGAGTCAGATCGATTGGAGAATATCAATTTTGAAGAAAATCGGCTGAACGGTCTAGCCGCTAGCGTTGTTCATTAGGTTTTTCGGAATAAAGTGGCCACAAAATATGAATTCTGGTCACATGTGTTAAAATTTTTTAAATAAATTTAGTAACTGAATATATAAACTTTTTTGTTACCAGGGCCTTGTAAGAAGAGTTTTCTGATCAACATTTACTGTTTTTTTGCGCAACAGAACATTCTGTTTGTTGGTGGTGAGACAGGTGAATTTACATCTGTGTAATTATTGAAAAAAAATACACCGAAATGAACTTAACATCATATTAAAGCGAGGAATTAGCACTATTTGTTCAAAATGTTAGAAGAAAAAATGTTGAGCCGTTTTTGAGAAAATGACTTTAGAGCGTTTCTAAAAATGTGGAATTTGAGCTAATTTTCACAGAACACGGTTGGGATTTTCAAAAACTTTATGCGACATTATTTAAATCAAATGTACTCATAAAGACATTAATGTGAACAAATTGACGTTAATATAAATATTAACAAAGTGAGAGAAAAGTCAAAAAATTTCATTTTTGTAATTTTTTAATAAAAGAATAGAGCAATATGACGTTTATGTTACCTTATAGAGCCCATTTAGCACTATCCCTACCGAAAGTTTAAAGAAAAATTTCGAACCTTTTTGGGAAAATCTTGTTTCTGTGATTTTGCGCAAAAATCACTATTTTTTTAAAAAACATTGTACGTGACCTTAATGAAAGAATTCATTATGGAGAACACATTTTATTTGAAGGAAAAATCCCTCTCTTTAATTTTGTGTTTGTAGGAAGACACAAAAAAATGTACTTTTGAAATTTTCGAAAATTCAGAGTTAATCCTGAAAATCGGACCTATAATACTTTTCTAAGTGTAAGTTACTCTATTCTTATAAAAAATATAAAGAAAAAATGGAGCGGTTATTGAGAAAATTTTGAATACGACCGGGGGCTTCATGTAAAGTACCCCCAAACTTAAAAGAATGTCTTTCAAAATCTCTAAGCTTCGACTCGAGCCAAATGGACAGGGGTTTCTTCAATTTGTAAAAAAACCTACGCTTGGATTAGGCATTAGTATTGTTCACATGCACAAGACGGACGGACGAAGGGACGGACGGAGGGATGGACTGACGGACAGGCGGACGTTTTGAAAACAAAAAACAATTTTTCGGTATCTAGGGATCCCAAAACGTATATTTCCGTTCAAATCCCGAAATCGATTTTCCAAAGCATAACATAACTTTACTTACACTAGGTATATTACACGGAATATACGTACGTATACGGGAAAATAAAAATTACACTACTGAAATATTTTTTAATGGTTTGTAATTGGTCACGATCGTGACGCCATGAGATACGGGAGGCAATTTCACTGTAGTATCTCGTCGGATCTCCATTACCAAATGGTGCCGCTATCACGGAACTGTGTTACTGTGATTTTGTGTCTCGGGGTAACTGTCGAAGATATTAACTACGTTGCTGTCGTATAATTACATTTCTTCTGCTCTTCTGATTCTTTGTGATGTGTGTTTTTGAGTGTCGAGTGTTTGAGCTACGATGGTGTGAATACATATAGATTTTTTATGCTATGCGCTGGAAGGGATGTTTGGCTCTAACTGAATGGGCACAAGGATGTCGTTTGATTGCTACAGGATTTATATGTCCTGTGCGTAATTGTCCTATGAGGTTGGCCCAGCGAAAAAAGTTGTGTAACCGTTTCGAGTGGAAGTGCAGTGAGAAAAGAGCCACTTCTCATACGCATGAGTGTTCTGTGCGGAAGGGGTCAACGGAGTGTTTTTTGTCGTTGCTCGCGAGCGTCTCAAAGCTTGAAACGTGACACATGAAACGTGACTTGACACGTGAAAGTTGCATATCATTAAGTTTTATTATAATTTCTTTCAGAGCGCTTGCGTAATTTGAGGGAAGAATTAAGGAGACCCTCCCTCACCTCCCCTGCCCTCCTCACTATCCCCTCCCTCTTCCCTCTTCTTCACCGCCGCCATGCTCTCTAAGGTGGTACCGCGTTCTCTCCTTTAAACTATGATTTATAAACATTAGAAATCAGTATATAGAGTGAACTGTCAAGATCTATTGACGCAAATACACTTTTGTCTCATACAGTAATTCTAGTCCAATAATTTGGTCACGTCTGTATATTACTTCATTCTATAAATCTATAGTTAATTAACCTGTTACTAATTAATATCAATAAAGAAATATTGAAAATTTATGTTTCTCATACTAGTAAAATGTGTCATGGCCGACTCTGTAAACTGTTTTAAAAATATTTTCATGTGTTGAACATTTCTTTATATGCTTATACGCTTTATACGCTTATGCAAGAACGGAAAAGTGAGAAGTCGAACGCAAGAATGCTCACGCTTTCTCTACCATTACTCACAGTTTTATTTCCATATTCACTTGCAATTCTTCAAGATTAATAAGTTCCGAGGCAATACTGTTCGTAGGTTTTAACAAATTAATTTATAAAAATACAATAATTCGAATCTAAATTAAAATCAATTTGCAGCGCAATTCACTTGATAATTAAATTGCTCACTTTAAGATGTCAATATCGGTGTTGCCAACGTCAAAAAAACAACAAAAAAACACGTTTTTGGTAATTACTTTGAATTTTCTGGCCGGATCCGATAACAAATTATCAGGTCCCCATAACCATGACGCGTCGAATAGGACGTCATACGTTTCGATTAGTGCACGGGAAATGGTCTAGCCGCGAGTCACGGAACCGCACACATCCGCGCATCCGAACATATGCACATACGCATCCTCTGACTTTTACTCAAATACTGTATTAGGGTTATGTTACTATTAAACGAAAAACACATCCTTTTCTCACAGATTTTCTATGCTACAATGAGGAACGACTCCGAAAAAACTGACTTTGTCTGTCTGAGGGAGCGATATTTTCATCAAATGGAAATTGTTATCATTTAGTTCTTTAATTAAAGTCTAGTACACTTGTTAGACCTTTATATATATATATATATATATATATATATATATATATATATATTGAAACGAAGAACGTTTCTGGAATTAGAACAATTAAAATGATCACCAATTATAAATTAAAATAAGTACTGGAGTTGATCAGCACGCCGCCGCCGCCGTCACCAACGGTCAAATCGGGGAAACGGCGAGGCGAGCGACAGTTAGTGGTGCGCGGAGAGGCCTCGAGTGAAGCACGTGCGGGGCAGTGTTGCGTCCAAGAGATATATTGTCGTTGTTAAGTGCAGTTCGGACTGAGTGTGGCCGCTGAATGTGGAACCAGGTTTGATAAGGATTAACAGTCAGATGATTAGTGGAAGTAGAATTGCTTACCAGAACTGATAAAAACCAATAAGGCAGGAAATCGTGTGGCCGGTGGGCTAGTGTTATAATCCCGCCCCTGGTATAATATAACAGTGGGCAGTGCTTACGGACATTCGCGCGAAGTTGAGAAAGGTTGCTGAAAAGACTAGAACAACCGACGAACATCAATCACGCGTCGTGCGTTCCAGTACCCGTGAGACATTGTTCACACCGGCTGGGGTGGAACCCGGCGAATTCATCGGCCGTTACGGTGGGCCAGAGGTGTTGGTCGCCGAGGGAGGGCGAATTCCCAGCGGACTTCGGGGCGAACCGAAGCTTGCCGAAACCACCGCCGCCGTTGCCACGACGACCCCGGTCGCCTCCAGAGGAAGCAGGTGGTTTTTAAAAACATCGAGGTAGCGTTGACCGTGCGCTTGTTTCCAAGGCCTTCGCATTTCGATTTGTAAATACTATTTGTAAGGTGTGTTCTTTGATCATTAAAATATTTAAATGTGCAAAAGAAATTATAACGATTATCTTCCTATGCTGCGCCAAATTCCTGGAGACCCATTCACGAAAATGTACCTGTCCCTTGCATAATTTATTTGTCGTGAAAGTACCGCTTCCCAGGTACGTCACAGCTGGCGCCCGAACAGGGACTCGTGTATTTAAGAAATGTGGCTCCAGGGAATTTGACAAAACTTTGGAAGTTTACA